GGGGGCACAGCCTGCGGGGCCCGCGCCCCTTTCCCGCCTCGGGGACCCCGCCGTGCGGGGACCCCGGGGACCGCGGTGGTGCGGGTAGGGGCCGTGAGTACCAGCCCCGTTCTTTTCATGGGTCCAGGCTTCTTTCCTTTTCCTGTTTCTTTCCGAGTCAGTTCTGGTACTTACTTCTCGCAGAAGACTGTTTCAAATGAGCTTTAGGGCGCAGTGACACAAACGTGCGCGTCATGCTCTCACGATTTTCTTAGGCTCTCCTGTTCTTGTAGCTGTGGCCCTACTTTCTTTCCAGATAGTTTCTATCCTTTCTTTCCTCTTAAAAAGCAATTTTCTGGAGTTGACTCATTTGTTTTCAGACTTTCTTGGGCTTTAATAAACAAATTTTTGTCTATACATTTATTTGAATGTACTGCTTAAAACCTCCGTTCCACTTAATACTTCTTTCCTTTACTTCTGAAATATTTCATCACTCCAATTGTGATTTGCCTATTTATCCATTAATTATTTAGAAGACTAAGTTCTCAAACAGGTGGAGTTTCTCCTTTTTGCTACTTAAAACACCATTAATGTAGGAATCTTTATATCTGACCTTAATGACATTTCAGCTATAAATCCTTACCTTTCTGATTGGCTCTGAGATCATTTTTATATCAAATTTCCACTTCTAGATCATTCTTGGTAAATTGTATCCTTGTTTTGACTCATCCGTGTCCTCTAGTTTTAAAATATTTGTGATTTACATTGTATTTTTTTTTACCCTAGAGAACAGTTATTTACCATCAGAATAATTAATCTATGATAGTCATGAAAATGTTAGTGTTTAATTCCTGGTGTTACATGAGTCACTGAAGAATGAATCATTAAAAGATTTTCAACTTGGAAAACACTGATATGCTACCAAAAAAAATCATTGACTTTGGTCTGAATTACTTGGGGGGAGAGGGGGGAGTTGATGTGATGTAAGTCTCTCATTCGATGAGTCTTCCTTTATGATCTGGTCACAATAGACTTTTGCATGTTTCAGGTGAGCTTAGGATCTTTATTGATTTTGGAGCAAGGTTCTACACATATCCACTACGTCAGCCTTCTTAATTTTAACTTTACTATTAGAAAAACACACCAAAACATTTTCAGCCATTTGTGAATCCCAACTCTTTGGTATATTTTATTAACGTCTGTGGCTACACTAGCTTCTTAGGCATTGCTGTCCCTCTGGGTTCGTTTTTCTTCTTTCTGAAGTTGATCCTTTAGTAGCTCTTACAGGAATGTTGTGGCTGGTGAACTCACATGTATGTTCGTTTTTACATGTCTGAAAATATTTCCATCTTTGTTCTCCAAGTAGCAGGTATGAAATTCTGGGTTAAGGGATATTTTCCCTAGGCTCCTTCTAAATATTACTCTTTTGTGACCTGGCTTTTCTTGCCAGAGGCATTTGTAGCATTTAAGTTTTTTCTCATTTCCTTTGATCCGCATCACCAACAGATTCGGTTCTTTTCAGAAGTTTCTCGCTGAGACTCAATGTGCTGTTGCTCTGGAGTGATTTCTTCTTTTGTTCTAGAAACAACTCATTTTATTCCTTCAAACATGCTTCTCCACACTCCCTTCCAGCCTCCCTTCCAGAAGTCCCTGTCTGCTGGGGCCTCCTCATGTCTCCACCTGTCTGGAGTGCTTTTGCCTTTTGATCTCTGTGACCCTCTGTGCATGCAGGGCGACTTCATGACTGTCCCCGGCTCCCATGGTGCTCTGCTGTGTCTAGTTAGCCACTTAAAGTTTACCCTGCTTGCTGAGGAGTTTTTCTCAATGATGGTATTTTTTATTTTCAAGATTTTTTGTTTTTTTCTTTTCTTGCAAACTTGGTCCCGGTAATGCTCTCCAAGGAGTGCAACGTGTAAGTATATGGCACAAAATGGAACGTCACACCTTCCTGCAACACGGACAGCAGCAAAGCCCAATGTCACGCTGTGACAGTTGGGCAGCTCCCTGGGCGGGCGGGTGGGCAGTGTCTGGCAGAGTGGCCGCTGGTCCCGTGAAGGCACACTTTCATGGTTTAAGTGGGTTGACATTACCTGTTGGAGCACGGACTTATGGGACTGTCACACCTACCAGATAATGAGGCGTTTGCCACTGTGGGGCTCAGTTACAGTCCAGCCCATCTACCTGTTTGAAACCCCAACAAGGTAAAGCTGAAGGTGCTGTCAGAGCAGCCTGTTTGGGAACATTGTCCACTTCACACACCCTCAGTGGTGAGCCAGGCCCAGAATCTCAGGACGGGTGAGGGAGGCGGCGAGGAAGCTGAGAGGCGCATCTGGCGCCCGGAGCCCCACGTCCCCTGCAGGTGCCAGGCTTCCAGGGAGGATGCGGGACACCGCTCCCCAGCCGTCTGCCTGGCCTTCGTCATCGTGTGTGAGGTACCGAGGCACCTCTCAGCTCTTCCGCCGATGTCCCCCACTGGCGCTCTTGGCCTCAGCGCGGTGGTCCCCACGCCCACAGTGCTTTGCCTGACCTCGCCGTGTGGTGTGTGGGGGTCGGCATGACCAAGGGCGCGGGGCCCAGTGCTGACCGTTCTGCCACCTGGGTCAGCTCACAGTTCTTTGCATGTTCATTTCCCTGCTGGCCTCTGTCGCCCACTGTGTGGACATCAGAATGCTCTGGGCACTGCAGAGCGTCCCACTGGAGCTGGGGTGGTCTCTGGCCAGTCTCTGGCCATGGCCTCTGCCTCTCCCAGGAGTTTCCTTTTCTGCACTGATGCTTGCTGTCCAGCTCAGCCCACACCTGGGGAGCAGGTGCCCACCCCTGGCCCCATGAAGGCCACTCAGGCACTTGTTTTGCCCAGGGGTGGGGGTGCCCTCTCCCACCACTCACACCAGCCCTGCTCCCGCCAGCCGGGTCCTCGACCTTGTGGTCCCCGACATCCCTGAGTCTGTGGAGATCGAGGTGAAATGGGAGTGCTGCTTGGCCGAGCAGGCGCTGGCCGGGAATGAGGTGAGTGCCGACCCCAGCCTGGCGCCCTGCTGCCGTCCCGAGGGAGTGAGGAGTCCGTCCAACCACTCTCCTCCTCCTCTGCCCTTTCCTGGAAACAGGCTCTTTTTGGACCAGACGGAGGCGAAGTGGACCAGCCCTCAGGCTCAGAGGTGAGTCTGGGCCCACAAGCCTAGGCTGCCAGGAGCCAGCCAGCAGGGCCTCCCCAGCACCCTCCCTCCAAGGTCACAGGGTTCATCGGAGACCCGCAGCTGAGGGGCCTGCAGCCAAGCCCAGCTGGGGGCAGAGGGATGGGGAGCGGTCCGAGGCTCACCCGCGGAGAGGCCACAGCCCAGTCCCTGGCCCTCTGGCCCAGAGTTGCCAGGCCCTTGGCCGCCTCAGGCCTCTGCTCCTGTGCCCTGTCCCAGGTCCTGTGGGAGTCCCCCAGGCCAGCTGACTACAGCAGCACCACCTGAGGGCTGGGGCACACCGTGCCCAGGGGGGCCAGGGGTATCCCGCACCCGCGGCTTGTCGGGTAGCTGCCCTGTGCCGTCCCCACTCCAGTCTCCTGACTCAACGCAGGGTGGAATGGCTCCACACCTGAGACGCTGCCTCCGTCACCCACCGCCCTCTGCCGGCTCCCTGCCCCTCATCCCTGACTGGACCCCGACTGCCTCCCGGTTTACACGGCCCCTCGACGAGGCTTGTTTCCAGTCAGGTCAGTGGACGTGGGCCCTGCCCTCCCCCCGGCGCTCCCTGCACCTGCTCTCCCTCAAGTGGCAGTGTCCCCTCTGAGGCAGCCCCGCCCTCCTGCCCTGCCACGCCCTCTGCGTGCCTGTCCCAGCCCCATCTCCCGCCCAGGCCCTTCGATTCTCTCTTCTTGACCCCAGCCATCTTTCCCTTCCCTTCGGGCCACTGTCCCCAGCCTCTGGGCGTGCCTCTGCCTCTTCCTGTGCCATCACCGGGCTCCCCCCACCAGGCCTCACAGCACGAGCACCCGTGTGGGGCTGGTCTGGCAGGAGACAGCTTTATGCTGACGGTGAACACTTGGAGGAAAAGACATTCCTATAATGCTCGGGGTTTCCACGTGGTTGTTTTCAAAACTGGGGGCGTAACCGTGCCTGCAGCCTGTCCTCGTCCGCTGACCGGCTTCACGGCCTCCTTCCGCCCTGACCTTCTGTTGGGTCGGTTCACACCGTGCTTCCCGACTCAGCGGCCTGTTCCCTTCCTCGACTGCTGGGAGCCCCGCTGGCACACACGCCCAGAAATCCACTCTGCTGGCCCCCGACTCCCTTGCGGGACCTCCTCAGTGTGGACAGCGGGGTCAAAAAGGCTTTGACACATATGGCCCAGTTTCTCCCCAGAATCGCCAGGCAACACCTTGGAGCAGCGTCCTCGCTGACACGGTACCGTTCTTTAAAGACCCGCCGCTCTCGTCCCGGCGGCACCCAGCGCCCTCCACGCAGCTTCCTGACAGGCAGGGAGGCTGAGGCTGCGTTTGGGGCCCCGGCGTTTTCTGGACCTGCTTGGAGAGGAGCCGGCCTGTGGTCTGTGGATGGTGGGCGGCAGGCGCTGTGCCCACGCCAGGCCCTCGGGCTCCTCTCCCAGCTGCTTCATTCTTGCTGCTGTCTTCCACTTTATAATTTCAAAGTAAATTTACTGAAACACAAGAAAACGCTCTTTATGCTCAGGCTTTTGTGAACTGAACACTGATTTAACTGGCGTTCAAATGAAGACATGGCCCAGGACGCGATGCCTGGCGGGTCCCTACCCACAGCGCTCCTCTCCGCCTCCAGTAGGCACCACCTTGGCCTTGGAAGGTTGGGACACTGGAACCCACAGGCCTGATCTCTTCCCTGGGACCCCATGACCACGGGCCCCCCTACAGCATCCTGCACAGACGGACTGTCCTGGCTGCCGCGCCGGGCTCCCCGAGTGAGGACGACAAGTGACCCATTCTGCCCGGCTCTTAGGGATAACGCTACCATCAGACTCTCATCCACACTGCCGGGTGCCCCCCCCAGGGTGCATGTCTAGGGGTGGAATTACTGGGTCACTGGGCCAACTATCTGGCTGTAACACAGTGGGGACAAGTGAGGCCAGGGCACCAAGGAGACTGCCCCCGCCCCTGATGGTGACAGGAGCCCACGGACAGGCAGGCAGCCTCACCGTGCCCACCACCGGCCTCCCAGCGTCGTGGCTCCTTCGGGGGCAGCAGACACCGGGCTGAGACGCACGTGCCAGCTGGGAGAGCTGCACCAAAGACTAGAACCACCTGTGGACATCCAGCTGCCACTCGAGAGCGCGGTGAAGACACCCTGGTGTCACAAGACCGAGGACACGCGCGCGGCGTCTTAAAAGGAATCCAGCACAGTATATCTGGTTTCAGGTTTTATTTTAGAATTTATAAAATTCCAGTGTCATCCATAGTCATGAGCGTTTACACATGTTTGCATATAATCTCCAAATTCCAAGTTAAGGCCAAGGGACGGATTGTAGCTGTGGACACACACGATGTGGAAGACGCTGGACAAGGAGGGGATGGACACACACGCCCCACTCCCGCCAGGGCTCTCTCTGCAGCATCAGAGGCGCAGGGCACAGGCCCGGGCACAGTCATCATGTAACCTTTAACAACAACCAAAGACAGAGCAAGCGAGACCCCAAACAATTCAGGGAAGGGGAGTTTGCATCTATGACTTTCTGTAACAAATGCACATGTGCAAAAATCTGTTGTGAGAATTAAAAACTGACCTTCAGGGAAGGGCAAGGCTAGATGTTGCAGGATTTTGTAGACAAGACAAAGGGTAGGTCTGGGTGGAAACCGGAGGGAGCCAGGGAGGGGGAGGAAGCAAGCCGGCCGACAGGAGCGGCTCCTCAACTCAAGCAGGCGGGAAAGAGGAGCGGCCCCTTCCCTGCGAGGTGCCTGACGGACGGGTCCCTGAGAAAGGCCTTTCCTTCTCCCTCGCCGTTCCCATCAGCTCGGCCTAATTTAGGGTCACCCGGCCCACTGCACTCAAGCAAACGTTCCTTCTGTCCTACCCCAGTTTTCACACTCACACCCGGGCACATTCAAGACTGCTCGAGCTAATGGGGCCTGCAGAGGCGGCTGAGCTAGGCTGGGCTGAGTGAGCGGTGCCTGGTCTGCGCAGGAATTTGAGTCAAAAGGTCACCAAGCTTGAGTTATTAAATTGAGTGAAAACCTGAGGGGGTAGGGAGAGGGGGAAGGTGGTCAAAGCAGAAGTGACTCCCCAGGGCTCGAGCTGGCTTCTTTAGGGACTCTGGCAGGTTAACAGGGACAACTCGAGAGTGACCCAAGTCACCTCCCTGAGGGCAGGAACCAGCAGCCCAGGACAAGGGCTAGTCCTCAGTTCTCACTCAAAACGACACACAGGGGCCTCTGTGCTGCCTGGGCCCCACCTTTCTGTCTCCAGAGGGGCCCAGCCAAGCCGGCTGGGGCACCCTGACTCGCCAAGCCTGGGGACCGACACCCACCTGAGAAAGAAGAGCCTCCCCACAGCGACAGCCTCTCTCCACCCCAGACCAGGACGCCTGACTCTCCGGCCAACTGCCACAGGCCTGTGCACGGCCTCCAAGGCTGCGTCCAAGGACAGCCTGGGGCTGGGCCCTGCAGGGGAGGGCGGGTGCAGCCTCGAGCCCAGGAGCCCAGGCACACACGGCTTGCAGCCCCAGGGACACAGCAGGCACGGACCACTGGAGAAGCCCGGGCCAAGAGGCCGAGTGCTGGGGGCGTACCCCCCAAGCACGAGACGAGCCCACGCTGGCTCTGAGGTAGGAAGAAGGCAGCTCAACGCATGGCGTCCGGGGGAGCAGGTGCCAGGGCGCTGAAGGCAGTGTGTGCAGACGAGAGCCCCACTGGCCACTCCTCCCTGCCCCGCGCTTCTCGGGTGGGCCCCAACGCCACGGCAGCCACAGCGTACCTCAAGTGGTGCATGGCCGGGCGGAGCCCCAACATGGGCAGAGCCAGGGCCGCCCGAGACCTGCCACCCTTCTGCCCTGGCTCCATGCGGCTCTCCACTGCACCCCCCTCGGGGGCTGGGTGCTTGGGCCCTGGCAGCTGGAAGGAGGACCTGGATGGCAGGCGGGGGAAGAAGGGGGTGGGAAAGGAAGAGGGCAAACGTTTTGGCTTTTATAAAGTCAAGGAAATTTATTTCCTGAGGTCATGACACAGGAAGCAGACTCAGCACAGTGTGGCGCGCTCCTCATGGAGGCCGGGGCCTCCGACATGCTGGGTGGGCCAGGGGCTTACTGTGAGACGTCCCGTGACCTCGTTTAGTGTTCACGACTGCATAGAGCCGCCCCGGAGCAAAGGTTGTGGGCAGGTCCTGGGCCACGCTGGGTGCTGGCCAGCCTGGGAACCCGCCACACGCAGCGCGGGCGCCGGCTTCGCTGTGAGACCTCGGGGAAGGGGGGCGTCGGCAATTTACGGAGGGTCCAGCCGCTGGGTCTGATCGAGACAAACCACTGTGTGGTGGGCTGGGGTCAGCAGGCTGGGGAGCGGCTGCTTTCTGATCATTATCGTTTGGGGCCCCAAGGGAGGGTCTTGGGGGCCACCTGAGCCCCAAAGCTGGGAAACTCCTCCGAGCTGCTCATGTCGGGAGCCTGTGGGGAGAAGGCACAGCTTCAGTGAGGGCCGCCCATGCTCATCCTGGTGCTGGCGGCCCGGCACGCACACGTGGGGCGGGGGCAGAGCCGGCTCACCTTCTCGCCGCTGCTGGCTGTCCAGGGAGCATCCCGCACCACAAAGCCCCTGGACGGTGCCTTGGATTCCTCATGGGCTGGGGGCTTCATGTACAGCTGCAGTGCCTCGCTGTCCACCACGTCGGCCAGCTGGGGGTACAGGGGAGGGTCAGTGTGTGGCAGCAGGGATGCGAGCCCCCAGCATGGGCCTCCGCCCACCCATGACTCACGTATTCCTCTTCCAGGTTGAGGATGTGGTCGATCGCCTCCTCCACGTTTTCTGGGAGCCCCGTCACGGTGACACAGTTGGGGTCAGGGGCCCCACTCTGTGGGAAGCGAATGTCCACCTGGAAGGGGCATGCAGTGGCTGAGGTGGCTCCGAGAGCCCGCCCAGGGGCTCTGGACCAAAGGGTCACCCTGGTACAAACAGCTGTGACTCACATGACCCCACTGCCTTAGGAACGGGCCCCTGAGCCTCAAGATACCTCCCCAGTCCGACCCCCGAGGGTGGTCGGGAGCCCAGGCAGGAAGGCTCGAGACCTGTGGTGGTCCTGGGGCTCCCTCCACTGGCCCTCATGGAAGGAGATGCCTCAATGGTGTGGGAAGCCCGGCCCTGCCCCCCGCCACATCCCTCTGGCCAGGCTGGAACGCACCTTGAATTCATCCATGATCTTGCGGATGGCTTTGCCCCGGGCACCAATGATGCGGGCGTGGACACGGTGGTCTAGTGGGACGTCCTCAGAAACCATCTGTTCGAGTTCGCCCACGATCTTCAGTATCGCGTCCCGAGCGGCTTCGGTGTTCTTTTCGTATCCTGTGATGGTAATTTGGTCCTGGGGCTGAGAAAGGAAAAGCGGGTCAGAAGAGGCAGTGCCCCAGGGACCCCTGACCTCGAGCACCGACTGGAGGGGCTGGCTGGCCAAGGACTGAGTGAGGCAGGCCCCACCGACGGGGGAAAGCCCAGCCTGCTCAGGAGAGAAGGGAGGTGTGCGAGCACACCAGGTGACCGATTCATGACGACAGGTAAACGACGTCCCTCAGCTGCTGCCCCTCCCAGCTCCACCACAGAGAGCCGCAGGAAGGGGAGGAGCCCGGCCAGAGGTGAGACGAGAC